TCCAATGTTAACTTCATCATTCTGCTGCATTTCATAAGTGGACATTTTTTGGTTTGTTTGTTTATTTTGATTTGTTCCTATTTCATAGGATGGCCTATGTTTATTTTGGTCATCTGGTGTTGTGGCCCTTATCATTTGTTTGTCTGTGCTACTTGTTGACCTTGTATGATTCACTTGTACTGATAAGTGGTTGCTGCTTCTATTTGTTACCTGGTTTTTATCTCTATCATTGAATTTAGACAGTCCCATACCGTCTAGCGTTTTTGCATATGTGCTCGCTGTTTTTTGTGGGTTGGCGTTTTTTGCTCCATTTCTATGCTTCTCTTCCAAATAATTGATTTTATCCAATAGCAAATTGTTATTTATTAGCAAAATACAATTCTTTTCTTGCACCTCATGCAAGAGTTGTTTGAGGCACATTTTAGGTAATAGTTTTCAGTGATCACCTGTTGTTTCTGGAGTTCAAATACTTCATTTGGTTTATCACCTCTCTGAGGTTCAATTTCGATCTCACAACACACCTTATTTTTGTTTTCATTTATTATCATCACACTGGATGATCTTTTTGCACAACTTTTATGAAAAACACTGAGGCAATTTATACAAACATAAACTGCCACATCTTTTCCACAACATTTCATTTTGCTTTGTTCTTTTTCCGAGTTTTCACTGGGAACATCTTTAACCGCGTCTACATCGCCGGCCATCTTACTACTCTATACTCGTAACAACGAAAACGAAATGCTCGGTAATATGTGTTTGTACTATTCTGACTTTGTCCATAACTGCTTCGTCCTCTACCACCTCATAGACGCTGCTGTATCACTTCCACTTGCAATGTTCTCTTTTTGTCTTGCTTCCTCTTGCAATAGCTCACTTTTCAAAGAGGAAAAATCTACATTTGCGAGAGACCGACTGAAAATGATGTCGATAGCTTTCGTGACAGATTGAAAGGATTCTGGCATTGCTGCAAGCATTTGAGAAATTATTTCATCATTTTCCATAGTTCCTCCACAGCTTCTCAATGCTTGTATAGTCTTCTCATATTCGATAATAAATTCCAGTAAGCTTCCATCTACGTTCTGCATTATCCTCAGTTCCCATTGTCAATCTACTCTAACTGAGATTCCAGTCCTCGTAAATGCTTATTCCAATGTTTCGATGATTTCCCCTTCTGTATTTTTGCCTTTATGGTTTCCAAAAATATGATCTGCTAACTACTGAACTATTATACTCCGTGCTTTTACATCACGTTTTTCAGATCCAGGTTCGTGTTGTTTTGTCTCATCTTCTTCTTCCAAGATATCCAACACGTTTTTTTGTTTCAGTACCAATCTGACTCTGAATTCCTAATTGGTAAAGCCTGAATCATGGAAGGGTTTCCAATGCGAAATCTGTACAGCCGACGCTATTATATTCCGTTGATTCCGTGTAATTCAATTGCTCACAGTGAAGTCCAAGGTGAAGATAACTTCTGCCACTTACAATTACTATTTTGTTCTGAATCTCTGCCGGGCCTGTAGTTGGGCCCATAACCTGTTGTGGTATCGATGATTTAGAACATCAAACATGTTCAAACTTTCTCACTCCATTTGATAATGTTATTATAAATGTCTATACATTTTTAATGGTGAATAATCGACAATCACTACGCTACTCATTTGTTCTGTGGCAAACCATACTTCACAGAATTGTATACATAGTTATTTACAATATCCAACAGAATATCAACAGATTCCGCATGAACAAAGATAATGACCAGCTCTACATGAGTTCTACCGATTATGTTCAAAATTCAGCAGGCAAGTCGATCACGCCTGTCACTTTGGAGTGTCCCTCAAACAATGATATGGTCACAAATCAGCGACGAAATTCACGGAGAAGACTTGTTTGATATTTTCATTAGTGGAAAATGACATTATCCTTGTTCATATTCCTCAAGGGATATCGAGGAAGCAGAACACACTATACTATTCTGTTCAACCATCGATATTTTCATCATGGAACTGGTGTTGAAATCAACATTTCATCACCAGTTACGTAATATTCCACTTTGAGCAATTGGTTACGTGAAGTAAGTTTCAATACTTCCGTGATTCTGAAATGTATCGAATAACATGTTATAATTAGGAGAAATGTTAATAGCACTGTCCATCTTTCTTCACTTCTTTCGTGAAGTCAATGTTGAATAAAACGAAATCGTCCTTGAATCGTTAGGTTCTGAATTGATGAATTCAAATATGTATTTTAACTTGGTCTTCTTGAAAGAGCGCATGAACATAAAATCAGATAGGACATGACGATCTAGTCATGTTTTCGCCACCTAGTGGCGAAATAGTGTAGATAGATAGATAGATAGATAGATAGATAGATAGATAGATAGATACTTTATTCGTTTACCATTTTACATATTCACAAGGAAATATAAATGGACAAACATGTCAAAAAACACAGAAAGCATATACCAAAATTCACAGTATGAAAATTGTTACATACTAACACAGAAAATAGAAGACAAAACCATGTAATGAAGTACACTTTGGACGAAACAGTTTGTCTAGTACGTATTATGTCAGAGAAAACAAATAAATAATACAAAATACTATACTATATATAAATAAGTACACATACACACACATGCATCAATAAAAATTATCAAAATTCATCTAGTAAGTAGCAGCACTTTTCAATTAAGGATTCTTTCAGTCTATTTTTGAATAATCTGACATTTGGTGCTGACTTTATATCCGGATTTAATTTATTGTATAATTTGCACCCCATAAAATAAAAACTTTTTTGATGAAGTGCGGAGCAGTGAGAATTGGGCTGTAACATATTGCGGTAACGAGTGTTATGATCATGTTTTGGCAAGCACATTGTAATGTTTTTATAATTATTATAGAAATATATACACACCTCTAGAATATATACGCTAAATAATGTCAGGATTTTTAGTTTTTTGAAAAGTTCTCTACAGCTAGTCCTCTTATCAATATTCTCAATAATGCGTATCACGTATTTTTGTAAAATTAGAACTCTGTTTACATTAGCACTGTTTCCCCAACTTAGTATTCCATATCTCATGTGGGAGTGAAAATTGGCATAATACAGTGTGATGAGAATGTGTTTGCTGCAATGATTTTTCAAGTATTTGATGCTGTAGTGGGCACTTCGAAGTTTCTTACATATTTGGTTGGTATGCTCTGTCCATGATAATTGCCTATCAAAAATAATTCCTAGTAGTTTCACGTTTTCAGAACAGAGTAATTGTTTTTCTCTATCTTTAAATATTATAGGTGGGTCTTGTCGTCTGTGCCCGAAATATGTCAACACTGTTTTATTGTGGTTCAATAGGAAATTATTATTTTCTGACCATCGTATTATGTTATCGTATACTATTTCTGTAGAATTGATCAGTGATTGTTGGCTGTCACCTGATATAATGATGTTAGTATCATCAGCGTAACATATAATTTTGACATTCGGAATATTTTCTACAAAATATATGAGGTCATTTGCAAATACATTGAAAAGCATAGGTCCCAAAACAGATCCCTGTGGAACTCCCTGTGTGATGGTATGGGAAGGACTGTTAGCGCCGTTGAGTGAAACAAACTGAGTCCTATTCAAGAGATATGATTCAACTTCAAAGGTATACCTCTTATTCCATATCGTTCGAGTTTAGCTATTAACATGTTATGGTCAACCGCATCGAAAGCCCTCGAAAAATCTATAAATAATCCAAACACATGATCACCCTTGTCTAATCTACAGACGAGTTCATTTTGAAAGGTATTCAGTGCAGTCTCTGTACCCATATTAGTGCGAAAACCATGTTGGCTTGTTGATAAAATGTTATGCTGCGTTAAGAATGTATTTAGCTGATTTTTAACGTTCATTTCAATGATTTTGGAAAAGCTACAAAGTAAGCTGATAGCTCTATAATTTGCGAGTTCATTAGAATCTCCTTTTTTATAGAGAGGCATTACCTCTGCTAGCTCAAGACAGTCTGTAAAAATGCTCATTTCATAGGACTTATTTATCAAGAATATCAATGACGGACATGAGTAGTGACTAGTTTTTTTAATTAAATTATTTGAAACTTGATCATACCCTGATGAGTTGGATGTCTTCAAGTTATCAATGAGGGTTTCCACGTCTGTAAGTGTGACAGGTTTTAGGAAAAAAGACAAATTACAACTAGGAATATTCAAACTAATGTGATCTAAATTTTTTCACGGTCTTGAATGATGTCTTTTGTAAAAAGCAAATTGAATTTCATAGCCAGATCCTGATCAGATAATTGCACACCATTTTCCTTTATTTCAACCAATTGTTTTTCTCGTCTTTTTTTACCTTTGAGTTTGTTAATTATGTCCCACGTAGCTTTTGATTTATTCTCAGAATTAATTATTAAGGTGTCAAAATAATTCTTTTTTGCCCTTGTTAGTGCCATACAGTATTGCTTCTGACTCTCTATACTCGCGATTTTATATTGTGAATCGGTTTGTGACAAATCTGAGAACGAAATCATCCGTGTAGGTTGATATTTTCTATAGCTAACGTGTACGTGTAACTAAGAGATTCAGAATGTTCTGTTTAAAATTCATGTACCAATTCGAGAGATAATCAATATTTAAATTCGTTTCGCCGAAACAGGAACATTGTCGCACTACCTCCCTAGGTACGCACGATGTTCTTCGAAAATCATAGGAATTCCCTTTCGACCGCTTCAAGATATTAAAAAATGCTTCTTTTGAGGTTTTGGTAATTGAAATTACCGCCTCTATCGTTTCTTCATGGTTTTCAGGAAAATGGGAATATGGTTGAGGAATACATTGAGTTAGTATCATTAAATGAAGATAATGGTCATTCTTCTGAAATAATCGCATTCAAGGAGAAATACCTACCTAAGATTTTGCACCAAATTTTGCTAAACAACATCCATAGAAGAAACATAATTGTATATCTACAAAATATACTATGAACATTTTTTTCAGATGTCAAACACGGAAAATATGGTACCTTCAAGGAGAGACAAAACTTGACGATTGATGAAAAGTTCGAGTACAAAAGGGATGGAAATGAACCCGGACTCGTGATAATTTTCAATCATGAAAATTTTGAATCTCCAGACCTCAAACCCAGAAGAGGTAGTAGGAGAGATGTCAACGAGATTATAACATGTAAACAGAGGCAAGGAATCAATATATCAGAAGATAATATTTTAACTGACGCAACTACAAAAGAAATATCTGATAAACTGAAACAAGGTATGTGCAACGATTTCCTTGGATTAACAAGTATCATTGATCAGCATTGCAATAATATACTTTGGAAGTGATACAATACAGAGTTCATATCGGTTATACAAAATGGTTCGCCCAAAATATTCAGATCGATTTCGATTTCGAATCTCTGTATACAAAGTATTCAAGTTTTCATCAATCGAGCTCCTGATGGCCATAATACCCATCAGAATGAAGAAGTAGGTTGATCCCACTAACGTGATCTCAAAAACACTTTGTTTTAGCTGTACGAAATATTGACGTTTAGAGAAAAAAAATGTTTTCATCGATATTTCGAAAAATCTTATTCCTCTCATCTTTTTATCCGATGAATAAATATTTGTTACTTGATGACACATTCTGATTTGGTATGGTTCATCTTGTTCAGTCCAGTTCCATCCCGGGAGACCCAAGCAGGTATGAGAATCACTCGGTGAATAATTTTTTTGATAAAAATATTTATTAGGTCATGAAGAATGTATCGATGAACCTGAGCTGTAACAAGGACCTAGATTGGGTTTTCCCCATCATCGAACTTTGATTCATAACAAATCCAATTTCTTTATTCAGGTCACGAGTAAGAATCAGTTCTTGCAGTTTTCAAGATACTGTCAAAAACAGTAATCGTGGGTTGCCTGAGTTCCGTTCTAGATCCATCAGAGAATGAACTCCAATAGTGATAATGATGAATAATACTAAGAATGTTCTCAAACATAACATTTATACACATTCATTCATAGCAGAGAGTAACAAGTTATAAAAACTCAACTCATCCTATATGTACATTGTACATTATAGGGAGCAAATATTGCTGGGAGCCTTGGAGGAAGGCATCTTCTGTTCTGTCCTGAACTCCGGTTTGGGCACAGAGGTTTATGAACGTTTTGGTGGAACATTTACGCATGCCGTTTTTTTCCTTCATCACCCTGTTCTCTCTATTCAGCATAGGTTTGATGATGGGGAAGCCATCATAAGAACTCTCCTTGGCAGACAATCTGAGACTCTTTCGCGAGATGATGTTCTGGTTTGGTGACGATTCGAATGATGAGACGTCCTGTAGAACTGACATCTCATTTCTTGTGATCTGTTTCACCCTACTGAGCCTTTTATTATTTCCGTGATTGTTGATAGCAGAACTCTCGTCTTTATTTCCTTTGTTCTGCGTCCTTGCAACCTCCTGCTCGTAGAAGAGGATGTATGCTTCTCCATTCACAATAGATTCAGATGATTTTTGTGAAACAATCGAGTCATTGTAGTTGTTCCATGATTCAGTGATTGGGTGTTCACAATATCCTGTGTAGTGTCCAGATAAAGTTATTCCACTATGATGAGATACAGAATATAGATTATATCTACGAGGGTTTTCATTATTTGCTGCATGTTTTGTGAATATCCGTTTTTCGCTGTAAGTGGGAATAGATTCACTTGACTCTGAGTGGGCTGTTTTTGATGTATGCGTTTTGCGTGAGAGTTTGATGTTCCTACCGAGTTCTCTTCCAACGCCGTAATTATTGCAGCCGACCGGCGGTAATGCAGAAGCACAGTATAGTTCGGTAACACGCACCCAAGTTGTCCTGTTACATCTCACCAAAGTACGCGTCAAATCACTCAACTAAGATTGGTGGGAAATCACTGAATTGTAAGATCATAAGATCAATGATGAGATGAAAGTTGATCTGAATATATCAAAATCAGTGAGAAAACAAGAGAGTCAAATTGGAAGCAAATCTTTGTATCTGATTTTTCAAAGAAACGATATTCATCACAGTATCAGTTGAATTTTCCAATCATAGTCTGTTAATCACTTCTGCGAATGCTTCCAGTATCAATGCAGGATCGTTCAACTCGGCCATATATCTTTCTTCGCTAAGAAATTCGAAAATCCATCAAGTGTTTGACAAAGAAAATGAACTGATCCTTCAGATGGTGATATTTTCTCAATTCAAATTTTTCTGCCGAATCAGCTGCTCCACCAGGAACTCTTGATGTTGAAATGATATAAGATGCTGCAACCGTATCTACGCAGGTGAGTCTCAGACTATCAGTTCGTCTCGACTCCATGGAATGAGAGACATTCCGTCAGGTCGCTCTCCATAATCTCGACTGACTCCCAGCGGTTCTGGGCAGAAGGGCTTTCAGCAGTCGACAAAGCTCGTTCGATCAAATCATTGACCGTGGAATGTCTGAAAGAACGACCTGAACTCAATTTGCAGCTCAGTCCGTGGATACCCTTCTTTGTGATGATAGCTTCACAACGACATGTATGGCTGATACATAAAGAGCATCATAAACGGAGTCCTATCGATATTCTGAAAGATTCATCATCCATGAAGGTCCTAGGAATGCAACAGGAAGCGCGTTGAGTCAAGCTCCGGATTATTTTTTACTCACTGCCTTGAGACGAGCCTTTCCAATTGGAGAGTCTGAAGCTTACTCGAGAAGTTGTTCATATAATAAATCAATCAAAGGAGAATCCCAAGGTTTCTGTAAACTTCTATTGACTGGAACAGAGGTCTTAGTTGTAGAGCGCTACACTTCATATGGCATAGATCAGGTACAATGGAGGTGGTAAAATTTTATCAACCACATGAAGGACACTGTTGAAAGAAGATAGGAAAGCTAGTGAAGCTATTGCATCTGAAGAAATAACACCCAAACCTCCCCTGGACACTGACAGGGTTGCTTGTAGCCATTTATCTTCTAACAGATGATGGTTTGTTGTTTTCTCAACGGTATGACGAATTTCGTCATCAATATTCCGTAGACCTTGCTCATCAGGCCAAGAACTACATCTGAGTGTGTGGGTCAGTTTTGAAATTGCCAAACAATTTTTCAATGAAAATAAGGCTATATGTGCTGATAAATCAGTTAGTCTCGAGGACATCAAAGGAAAAGAATTCAGTTTATCTTCAAAATAAACAGAGATAGCTCAATCTGATAAGGGTGCAGGAAAATTAATTCACATTTATTGAAATTCAATTTAAGTTCAAGTTCTTTCGATTCAGTTATGATATTGTCACACCTGGTATACCAAAGGAACCATTCAATCAATTTATTAAGAAATATCCATAAGAAAATCAAAGTCCTCAGTAGATAATATCCAAAGTCATTCACATAACATATGTAATTCAAACCCGGTTCAAATTTCACAGACAGGAACCTAGTAAGCTTTTCCGGCAGAATTCATCGGACTTGAAAGTTCACCTATGAGGTAATGAACTCGATAGGTACGATTATTGCTGATTCTGCTAACTCGGCAAGTATCGCCTATAAAACAATTGAAGTATAGATTTTCCGAGACAATCGGGGAATCACAATCAGACAATCGAACAATCAGACTCGGTACGACGTTGAGTACGAGTACGGCTTTTTTTTGGGTAACGACACTAGTGAGTGAGTAGACGTCAACGCCATGACACACATCTCCTCCCCTGCCGGAGCAGCGATTGTTGTATGGACAATGTAAGTACATTTTTGAATCAAAAACTGTTTCATTACCTTGTACAGCCCCTGTATTTGTCTCCAACCACGTTGGTAGTTAGATCCAGAGATGTATAGGATTTCACTAGAAGGTGTAGCCATAGGGTCACTTTGATTTAGTCACTTCACTTAACTTTTTTTGTCTCACTTAACCTTTTTTATCTTGCTCACTTGTTCACTGGTTTTTGATCGTTCAATAAAACTTAAATTTATGTTAAACAAAACATGCACTCTTTCCTTGCCACAACCGAGTTACGAGAGTGTGGTAGTTAGGACACCCTCTTGCTGCCAAGCATAACCCCCTAAGATCACGCAGCCGGGGAGGAAGGCCCCAATGGTCGTGACAATATTTCCGAAAACTTTCAATACCTAATTGGCGTCATCGCCTATTGACCCATCATCAAGATAACAGCTATTGAATTCAGTTGGAATGCTTTTTGTTAATTGGTCAACTGATAAGCAGAATAAGGCTGGACCTAACGGATCACTATGTTGAACACCTCTTTCAGATTGAATAAGTTCATTGCCATACATCAGAAAACTTGGATTTCGATAGCAATGATGAATTAAGGTATAAATTTGGGGTCTGTGGTCCTTGCCTTCTTTGAATGATGTCTCTGTGAATCATATTGAATGCCGATACATATAAAACAAATTGAGGAACAAAAGGCATCCAGAAAGGCTGTGAATAGGTTGCTTGTTGAAAAGACCTATTATTTTATACAAGATTCTTTTGACGATAAGCTCGAGGGATAATTAACTCCAGCTGATATTTTTACAATCATGTTATATATGTTATGTTCTGTTATACGTATGTCGATTTATGCTGTACGTCCATATGTACAAAATTTTGTATTCACCGGTTCTTGTACAGAGATATATTTCAATATGAGTGCATGTGGATCCATTCAAAAATTCATGTACCTTCATGTTATACAACACTCTATACACTTTACTCATTTATTTATTTCAAGTATTGATCATTTGATTTGGTATCTGTAATCCAACGAGTTCAACCTCAACCTTGACTGTGAAATTTTTCATTTCACTTCATTTATTGTATTTATTTATTCATCATGCTTTGTCAACAAGAATGTGTTTCTTTGACAATAATAGTTATTTTTGTATCTAGAGCGCGAAATGCTACTTTGGTGATCGAGATCTGATAGTCGAGATGACCAAAGTATTCCGCGCTCGAGTTGCAAACAAAATTTTTTCTACAAACGTCGAAAAATATAGTTCTAAAGTAAAAATATGCTCAGCTTGATATAATAAATATTGTTGAACTGGCTTAAAAGGCCTCCCCCTATTCTCCCTAGGTACGCACGATGTTCCTCGAACCCAATAGGAATTTCCTTTCGTGCGATCCAAGAGATAAAACAAAGTTATTGTTGATCATCCAGAAATGAATGATTTCGTGGATGTTTGCTCGATCGGGGACCATGAATTTGAAATATAAATATCTCACATATTTTACATAACAATGCGCGAAGTAGGTACTTCGCGCACTGTTTTACTTCGCGCATTGTTTTGTGTGAGGTATCATGGTAACGTAGGAAATTGAGAAGAAATGTCACCTCGCAATTTGTTATCAATGCGCGAACCTTGTCATTTTCTGACGTTCGTAGAAAATAGTTATTTTTGTATCTAGACCGCGAAATGCTACTTTGGTAATCGAGATCTGATTTTTTAACGAGGCGTAGCCGAGTTAAAAAACTAGTCGAGATGACCAAAGTATTTCGCGCTCGAGTTGCAAACGAAATTTTTTCTTCAAACGTCAAAAAACATAGTTCTAGAGTAAAAATATGCTTAGCTTGATATAAAAAATAGTGTTGAACTGGCTTAGAAGGCCTCCCCTTATCCTCCCTAGGTACGTACGATGCTCAACAAACATAATAGGAATTTCCTTTCGTGCGCTCCTAGAGATAAAACAAAGTTATTGTCGAACATTCAGGAAAAAATGATTTCGTGGATGTTTGCTCGATTGGGGACCGTAAAGATGAATTATAATTATCTCATTTATTTTACATAACAATGCGCGAAGGACCAATTAACAAAAAGCATTCCAACTGAATTCAATAGCTGTTATCTTGATGATGGGTCAATAGGCGATGACGCCAATTAGGTATTGAAAGTTTTCGGAAATATCATAACTGAATCGAAAGAACTTGAACTTAAATTGAATTTCAATAAATGTGAATTAATTTTCCTGCATCCTTATCAGATTGAGCTATCTCTGTTTATTTTGAAGATAAACTGAATTCTTTTCCTTTGATGTTCTCGAGACTAACTGATTTATCAGCACATATAGCCTTATTTTCATTGAAAAATTGTTTGGCAATTTCAAAACTGACCCACACACTCAGATGTAGTTCTTGGCCTGATGAGCAAGGTCTACGGAATATTGATGACGAAATTCGTCATACCGTTGAGAAAACAACAAACCATCATCTGTTAGAAGATAAATGGCTACAAGCAACCCTGTCAGTGTCCAGGGGAGGTTTGGGTGTTATTTCTTCAGATGCAATAGCTTCACTAGCTTTCCTATCTTCTTTCAACAGTGTCCTTCATGTGGTTGATAAAATTTTACCACCTCCATTGTACCTGATCTATGCCATATGAAGTGTAGCGCTCTACAACTAAGACCTCTGTTCCAGTCAATAGAAGTTTACAGAAACCTTGGGATTCTCCTTTGATTGATTTATTATATGAACAACTTCTCGAGTAAGCTTCAGACTCTTCAATTGGAAAGGCTCGTCTCAAGGCAGTGAGTAAAAAATAATCCGGAGCTTGGCTCAACGCGCTTCCTGTTGCATTCCTAGGACCTTCATGGATGATGAATCTTTCAGAATATCGATAGGACTCCGTTTATGATGCTCTTTATGTATCAGCCATACATGTCGTTGTGAAGCTATCATCACAGAGAAGGGTATCCACGGACTGAGCTGCAAATTGAGTTCAGGTCGTTCTTTCAGACATTCCACGGTCAATGATTTGATCGAACGAGCTTTGTCGACTGCTGAAAGCCCTTCTGCCCAGAACCGCTGGGAGTCAGTCGAGATGATGGAGAGCGACCTGACGGAATGTCTCTCATTCCATGGAGTCGAGACAAACTGATAGTCTGAGACTTACCTGCGTAGATACGGTTGCAGCATCTCATATCATTTCAACATCAAAGGTTCCTGGTGGAGCAGCTGATTCGGCAGAAAAATTTGAATTGAGAAAATATCACCATCTGAAGGATCAGTTCATTTTCTTTCCAGTGGACATAAGAACATTTGGTGTTTTTGTTAGTTATGCTTCAGATTTCATGAAAATAATTGGACAGAGGCTTATCAAGAAAACAAATGACCCAAGGTCTAGTTCCTTTTCCATACAATGCGTCAGTATCGCCATCCAGAGGGAAAATGCTGCTTCTATATTGAGTGTCATTCGTTCCACTCAACGTCTAGATGAAATATTCATACGCTCGCAAAGGATACCAACATTGAATAACAAATCTTCTTTCTTCAGAAAAATCCATCACTCTCAGGAATTTCGGCAGAATACCTTGAAAATTTTTGGTCTGAGAGGTTAGAAGAATATTGACAACACGTGTTCCATGAACAGCATAATACAATGTTTGTCAAACACTTGATGGATTTTCGAATTTCTTAGCGAAGAAAAATATATGGCCGAGTTGAACGATCCTGCATTGATAATGGAAGCATTCGCAGAAGTGTGATGAATATCGTTTCTTCGAAAAATCAGATACAAAGATTTGCTTCCAATTTGACTCTCTTGTTTTCCCACTGATTTTGATATATTCAGATCAACTTTCATCTCATCATTGATCTTATGATCTAACAATTCAGTGATTTCCCACCAATCTTAGTTGAGTGATTTGACGCGTACTTTAGTGAGATGTAACAGGACAACTTGGGTGCGTGTTACCGAACTATACTGTGCTTCTGCATTACCGCCGGTCGGCTGCAATAATTACGGCGTTGGAAGAGAACTCGGTAGGAACATCAAACTCTCACGCAAAACGCATACATCAAAAACAGCCCACTCAGAGTCAAGTGAATCTATTCCCACTTACAGCGAAAAACGGATATTCACAAAACATGCAGCAAATAATGAAAACCCTCGTAGATATAATCTATATTCTGTATCTTATTATAGTGGAATAACTTTATCTGGACACTACACAGGATATTGTGAACACCCAATCACTGAATTATGGAACAACTACAATGACTCGATTGTTTCACAAAAATCATCTGAATCTATTGTGAATGGAGAAGCATACATCCTCTTCTACGAGCAGGAGGTTGCAAGGACGCGGAACAAAGGAAATAAAGACGAGAGTTCTGCTATCAAAAATCACGGAAATAATAAAAGGTTCAGTAGGGTGAAACAGATCACAAGAAATGAGATGTCAGTTCTACAGGACGTCTCATCATTCGAATCGTCACCAAACCAGAATATCATCTCGCGAAAGAGTCTCAGATTGTCTGCCAAGGAGAGTTCTTATGATGGCTTCCCCAAAAATCAAGACATATGCATTATACGACATTTTCAGTAGGTATAATATGAATTCATCATGACAAGAGAGCGTTCCATGTTTTGAATTCAGTCAAGAACAAAAATCAAGTAGGTCTATGCCGTTTCCAGAGAACGTGTACATCGTTTCTTTGTACAATGGAATGAACGTAATAGTCTCCATCAGAAAAAAACATTAGTTATTCATTATACAAGTGAAGAATGTAGTAGATTTTTAAAACCGTGAGCGGAATTCAAATATTCTTCCCGTGTATAATGAAGTATTTTTTTCTGTGACAGGAGGAAGAAACAATCAGTATTGAAATGATATTACATTTTATCAACATCAGAAAATTATCGAGGTGAAATTTGAAGTATTCAACAGGATTAACACCCACGTTGCAGGCATCTTCTAGTAAACATCTTCATTATTTCTTTGAAGTTATCAAATATTTGTCAGTCTTTTTCTGTGATCCGATTCGAAAAAATTGCACACTTTGTGGTCGTTCAGTGTTTGGATAACCGTGAAGTGGAATGCAAGATAAAAGGACATACAGTTTTTTCTCAAAGAAGGTGTTATTGACTTTTTCGTAACTAGCACAACAAAAGCTATCAACATTGTATACATATTTCCAGGAAAAAATTCGAAACCAGCATAACTAAAGCTATCGACAGTGTATTTATATATGTAGATAAAAAAAGCTCATAATCCGTGGGAAAACGTTATTTATAAAAAGTGACATTTCATAACCTGCCAACATGAATGAAAGTTCAAACTTTGTTCCCGTCACAAGAAAAATATTTTGTAAGAGCAGGACATGCGAATGACCTTGAACATCAGAATAGTTGTTCTCTTTAGCTCTCGACCAATAATTCAATACCAAGAATAGGGGTTTTCGACGAACTCGAAGAAATTGATATCGATTTGAATATTTTGAAAATTTATTAACCAACTGCTATGATTATGTAGATAATAGCATGTTCTACAAGATAATGTACAGAGTGGAATTTTGGATAGTTGATATATTCAGCGATATTACATAGAACCGTAGAACAAAAATGAGCAAATATTTTCCCTATCGACCCTTATATATTGAATCCCTAATATGTCGATTTCTTCTTATATATGAATACATATGCCAAAATGTCATCTACTCTGGAACCAAGTCTTGAAACAACCTGTATTACGATGAAATGATTATCATTGATTGTGCTGAGTTCCCATAGTGAAATACATAAACGTATCGTGCTTACTTTGAGATAATTATCTCCCATGACTATCTTTAGTTGCAGATATGGATCTCAAAGAATACAACTTCCTAATAGTCTATTTCTTGACTCATGGAGATTATTTCAACAAACTACACACCAAGGATGGAACTGTTAAGGCTCATGACATCTGGGAACATTTCAGAAAATGTAGATCACTGGAAAATAAACCGAAGATGTTCGTGTTCCAGGTGAATGACATAAAATTATATTTTCGTCATCTTATATTATTACAAAGCTATCGATGATATGAGTGTGGCGAGTGTGTGAAGTATCGAATTCAAAATGTGTTATCTACAGACGCAATGATGCACGAAAGTTCCACTGTTTATACTGAAATCATTGAATTTTGAAGTCATTACTTGCAGAATTAATAGCACTCATTCAAACTATTCATTTTTTCCTGCTGAATGAAAGATTTCGCCTTATTTAATATGAGATGGTATTTGTATGTGAACAGATTCGAGTAGTCGGTATCTCAGCGCTTTTATTCATTTAAGGAGGTAACGAACAAGAATTCTTGGACGGTTCCGAGATATTCGCAGAAATCATTTGAATTTTTGTACCTTCTAAATTTTTCAGCCCAAAACTCGAAAACTATACATTTCAACAAAAAAACCACCGCAAAATAATTCGGTTCAAGTTCGAGTACAAGAGATGTTCAAATTTCCTTACCTCTGAATGTAATAATCACAAGTATGGAGCTACAGCAAGTTAAAGATCTACCAAATTCACGTACCTACTGTTCACAAAAAAGCGTGATCGGTCGGTTCTAGCAGATAATTCATCTACGCATTTTTCGAAGGAACGAACTATGCTGTCTGAGAAATATACTTTGGGATCACCGCAAGTGCGGTTAAAACAACTATCTCGGAGTGGGCGGAGAGGAAAACACTCACATACTAGTCTTAACTACCAGGATCAACCCATCGAAAAATATAGCCAGGCAGGGATAACCTTCGAACCCTGACATGACTGCCTATGGAACACTGTCGCCTGAGATACCACCTAGAGAGAATGGGTCTGAGCCAACTAACGGACTATCGGTTCTGCTATGTGGAAGACGAAACGGCTGAACACATATTATTTTCATGCTCTTGCTTGAAGATGATGAGGTTCGACATATTTGGCTTCACCAATTTAGACGAGTCTCACCTGATTCCACCATGGACTTCGTGAAGGGCTGAGCCACGATAGACCCATCTGGAGTCGCAGCAGTGGAGGGACGGTAGTCGCTCCAGTCACATGGAACCTAACCTAATCTAACCTATACTGTCTGATTCGAAAAGTCATGACCTTGCGAATACTTGCCTGTGTCAACGTGTAACTAGACTCTCGTCTCGTCACTGTTTTCCAGTAATACTGATGAAACGAGAAAATGAAGATACTAACAAATTGTTAACATTGATTTTCGAATGATCATAACGAAAGCCCTGTCAAACTGCTCAGAAAAAATTGGGGTGTGCAGTATGTCGTCATAGAAATCGATCAAGTAGAAAAGATAACCTCGGGTGGGGTAACAACGATCAAAATACGTCATCCAGTCAGACCGCTCGAAAAGCCGTTCACTTCCTCGCATATTAATAGTTATTCATGATACAAGAATCGTAAAGATTTCTATATGAGACGGAAATCCGTCGATTATCGTATCATGAATTTACTAGACAAATACCGTACAATATTTCACCTGTGTTGTTGAATAATCAGTGTTCAGTGCTGAAATATGAAAAAATATCAGAACTTTGACTCACAGAAATATATAATGAGAGGTAACAAATAACGTGTCGGTCTCTTGAAAATGCTCTGTGGGGTTTGCATATCTGCTACATGTACAGCTTCATCTTCATCATCATGAGTTTTCACTATTTTTCCCAGTGGCCACATTCCACGAGGTATATTATTTTCGTTGATAATCACCATGTCTTCTATTTTGAAATTTCGTTCTCATTCTGTTCATTTTAGTATACTCATGAGTATTAGGAGGTATTCATCCAGTCAACGTCGATAAAATATGTCTAACAGATACTGGGATAGCTGCCATTGTTTCCCCAACAATAAGTTCCTTTCAGTAAAAACTCATTAGGGCATATGCTGACCAAATCGAAAATGGGATCATAGGTAATATGTGACAACGGCCCGCTATTAATCAGATATTTAGCTTCCGCGGAAACAGTTTGCAATACTTCACCTGTTAGATGTCTGTCTCTCAGGACGGCAGCGATCTTTCGCTTGAAGCAACCAATCATCTGTTCTCAGCTTCCACCCATTAAGGGAGATAAAGGTGGAAATTTCTTGAAAGTTATACTTCTGTTCGTCATTTTATC